CTCCAAAGCTCCTCTGCACTGACAGAGGGATCACTGCCTCACTCCCTTCATGACAGTCTGATCAGATTTAAAGCCACTTTTCTTACATCACTTCTCACTTACCCACTTTTGTTCAGCACACCAAGATTCCTCCATCTATGACATGGTTCACGTTTCTTCCTGCCGTACAGAGATTCTTGTACTTTCTCCCACTCTTTTTCTTCAGCCGTCTTGGGTTGGGCTAGTTCTATTTCATAAGCCAGGTGTGCAACGTGAATACTCTTACGAGGTTTCTGTTCCACAAAATACTGATGGTGACAGAAAAAAAACAGAGGTTAAAAATAGAGAACAAAGATTCAATTATGTCAAATATAATAAATCTTGATGGAACAAATCTGTAAAACTCTGCAAATGTTACTTATTAAACCCAAATGGTCAGTTTGATTCCTGCTACTTGTGAAGATGTGTTCTGAATATTGTCCCAACAAACATCAGAGTTTAATTATGTTTCATTATTGGATTAAAAGGATATTAATGTCGAACAAAGTGTTGTCATGTCAGTCCAAGAAGAGTGAAATGAAAACAACACAGCAGTTATTAGAGGCAAACGAGAAACCCTGAACTCCCATAAAATCCCTTGTGAACAATCTGCAGGCCTGCATCAGGACTGGGTCTTTACTGAGCAACTGGAACAAAAGAACACGATCCCAAAGCTTTCCAAGGCACAAATCCCTCTTTAATCATCTCAATGACATCAAACGTCTCCCATTCCTCAGAATCCAACTAAAGGCTCCCAGCTCAGTCTGAACTGAACTGCTGTTCTTCACATCTGACTGGTTCTGGAGATTTGAAGCTCTAACAGCAAACTGTACAGCCTGTAGAAAAATGCCAACGCCTGAATGAAGGTCAAAGTTTAATCACTGACACCTGCTTCTGCAGGAACAGCTCAGACTCTGATTGGCTGTCAGGAGCTGCACATTGTTAAGGGCAGGGAAGGGAATGAACGTGTTCATCTGCAGGTTGGGTTCACCATCAGCTGGATCCAAGCGCGGCCCATCGTCTCATTAAACACAAAGTGACTCGCTACTGGAAACATACAAGTCAATTCACCCAACCACAGACTAACAGGCAGACTTTATTAGGCTAACCAAAATTCTGTAATTCTCTTATATGTGAAATGGACACGAGCCATGTGTTTGCTGAAGGGAACACTCCCTAGAATAAAATCAAACTCTGTTCCAGATGCTTTTAAAACGCTGTAAGTGAGAATGATGTCGGAGAGTTCTGAGCACTGAAACCTATTTATTAGTAGGTGTCCTAACGTCCCCTCTGGGATCCTCTGGTCCAGCACTGCTGGTTCAACTTCAACAAGCAGACATGTTTGGAGATCAGCTGCTGGTGTCTCTGGCTGCTTCTTGTGGGTTTGAGCTTCTGCTTTGCCATCAGGGGAGGGAGCTGCAATGATGCAACTTAGTTTCCTCAATTGGAACCTGAAGAGAGCCTGCCCATAAGAATGACTGTGATTCTTAAATGTCTCCCAGATATGATGCTTGTCGTTCCATTTACTAGAATCATCAGCAAACAACTGCTTTGAAATATCCTGCAGAGATAAAAACCTAAACTTACATGACAGTGAGCTGTATGGATCAAAGCAATGAAGGAATCTAAGGGGAACAGATCCAGACAATGATTTGTTGAGAGTACTTCAATTGATGCTGCTGGAGAGCAGAAGGACATGGAAACCTGTTTCTGCCTCATGCTTTGTTTTCAGTTAGACAACAAGCATCTGCAGACTAAAGGCTCTGTAAACCAGAATCTGTCAGATAGAATGACCTCTATGTTGGCTCCAGCTGCACAATATTAAGATTTTTGTCATGAAAAAGCCAGCATTCGTGTTAACAGTGAAATGTGAAGAAGATTTCAACCTGATGTGTATCTCAGTGACTTCAGCAGCATCTTCCCTCCTTCAACGAAGTACTGGTTCAAGAACTCCACGTCCTCCTCCACTGCGGTGGGTAAAACCTTCATTTGTCTGAAGTCAAAATATAGAAAATAAACACAGATCAAAGATCCTATCTGATTAAGTCATGGTACCATCTTTTATTATGCTGCCTGTTTCTGTCAGATAGACACAGGCTGCAGGATAATTTCAGAAATGTGAAGACATGTCTAAGTAGAGAGAGAGAGGTACTTACTTTTCTATTTCTCCAAACTTGTTGAGGATCTTTTCATCAATGTGTTTGAGCAGGACAAACAGCTTAATTCTGATATCTAACTCCAGAGCTGAGAGGTCTTCCTCTGATGTGTCAAGTAGACGCCGACCCACAATCTTCGCCATCAGAATCTGATCTGATTCTGTAAATCAGATCAGATTTACAGAATCAAACAAACAATGATAGTTATTATTTTTGCACAATTTCAACCCCAGAGCCCAAGAAATCAGTCTCACCTTCTATTCTCAGACAAATAATGGCCATATTACATCTCTGTCTGTAGTGCTAAAGTAAAAGGCCATCAATGAAAACCTGCCAAAGGCAACATAACTGGATGCTTTCAGAGAATCAGCAGGAACAGTTACCTTCTAGACACGCTTGGATCTCTTGACGCTTCCTGTCATCTGCCAGTTGCAGCAGTTTAGAGAGCTGGCCGAAGCTACGAACAGAAACAGAAGGTGGAAAAAACTGCAACAGTGGAGTCATGTGAAGCCTTTTTTAAGGGACTTTACAGCTCTCCCACCTCTACAAACTATTTTTAAATGAACACATGAAAAACTCAAGAAGTTACAAATGAAAGATAAAGTGTTTTTATTTCCTATCGCTGAACGGGAAATAAAAGCAAACATAAATAAATTATTAAATAACTGGGTCACCTAAAATGTTGGAGAAAATAGGCAAAACTTCATCTGGCACACAAAAAAAGACAGGAATGGCTTTCAACTAAAAAAACAAAAGGAAATAAAAAGTGAAAAAATTAAAGGTTGACTTGATTATGCTTAATTCAACTTGACACACAGGCATGCAGCTGCCTTGCCTCTTGCTCCAAAACACTGGAAGGAATGTTTAATCTGGTCGTAGCCTTTCTCCACTAGACACCTGGGAGGCTCAGTTACAATCACAAAATAAAAGCAGACCAGAACGTCTGATTATATAAAAATGGAACCTTCTTTGTTTCACTGAAGATGAAAAATACACGAATCGCAACAAAAACTAAGTTCTTCATCTGGATAAAGTCTGAATTGCTGCAGCAGAGCCCAGGGAAAGAAACTTTCTGAGATTGTGTTGACACTGAGAGACTGCCTGAGTGATGACAGATAATAGTGAGAGTTAATCATTTGTCCAACATGATGATATAGTCGTCTTTGAAATCAGATTTCTTTAAAGTGGTGTTCCACTGAAGCGGCTCTTCAAACCAATGCTCTGCCTTCTGCGGGTGCCTGGAAACAAAATTCCCCAACAAGTCCAGGATTTCCTTATACCCGGTCAGTGGCGTGGACTCCAAATAGTCTGTGCTGGGAGCCGCTGTCCTGGAGCTGGTCCACTGGGTCGCCCTGGTCAGTACTAGCCCAATAGCGCCTCCTGAAGTTCAAAAGTAGAACAAACTGGAGGAAAAACTCAACTGTCACCTCAGTTCAGTGTGGTTCCTGAAGAAAGAACTTGAAGCTGACAAAATTGACATAAATAGTTGTCTCTTGGTGTTTTACCAGTCTTGTACAGCAAATAAAATAACTCGAGCGGAGCAGCTAGTAGCCGTAAACTCGCTAAACTCACAGTTTCAATACAGAAAGCAGCTGAACAAACTCAGTTACTCGGCTGAAGGCAGTTTGAACACAGCGAAGTGCTAGAAACTAATTATTGTCCATGGTAAAAGTGTATTAATATCATTCAAATATGACATTACCGTATTTTAACAAGGTGGCTCGTCAGAATCGTCAGCAGGTGACAATAATTAACGGTTGCCAGAGAAACCAAGCTGGTTCATACGCAGTTGCGTTCATTGCGTCTCCTCGGCATTAAAAATTCGCTTCAAAATTCAGTTCAGTTCATTTCAAAACTACTTTTATTGATCCCCAAAACAAAACAAATAAAACAAGGGGGAAAAAAACAGCCAGGTGTGAGCAGAGGCGAGAATTATTCTCAAGGGTAAAACGCCACTTGAATACTGGTTTATTGTTGTCATGCTTTGGTATTTTAGTGTCTTTTAAAATATATTTTACAAACGCTTTTTTATTTTATTTCATCTACTGGTTGTAGTTCTCATTTTTGTTAATAAAAAAGGTCTAAATGACCAGAAATAATAATAATAAAAAAACAAACATCTTGTTTACTTTCTCTGGCGTTCTTAACTACGGAGCCCCCTAGTGGACATGGGGATTTTTTTTTCTTTTGCGTTACTTCGCAAAACTTTGTACGAAGCCCCCTAGTGGACATGCGGAATTTTTTTCTTTTGCGTCACCTCACAATGTACTTCCTGCGATATTTGCTGGTCAATTTTGTATACACATTCAAAGAGGCACAGTGAAAACGTGTTTATTCTTAACTCTTTGGCGCAAATAACTGATTGAAAATTGACTTATTCACTGCATGTTTATGTCTGTTTGTATAAGGCTGAGATGGAACTGCAGCTTCAAACCATTCAGACGACCAACACATAAGAGACACAATCAAAACTGTCGGGTTACGGTTTTTTTTATCACCTCGCGATAATAACTCAATACTCCTAATAGTTTGAATGTATCTTCTCTTTTCTTTTTTTCTACTTTCGGAAAGTTTCTGTTTATATTATGTTTGTGGTGCATTTTCATCCCAAAGAAAAAGTCATAAAACTTATAAAAGAGAAATTTCACAACAAAATATTAATATGCATGGGAAACCCTTACGATAACACCTTGACAAAAGCTTACACTGTTCAATTATTCCGCATAAGCTGATCAGTACATTATTGCGAGGGAACGCAAAAGAAATAAAAAACGTTCATGTCCGCTAGGGGGCTCCGTACTTAACAGTTAAAACTTAGGAGGACATTTTTGAGCCGAAACCTGTGGGAGAAGACTCCTTTAAAGCCTCATGAGTGAAGAATCCAGATTTTCGGTAATTAATGTATTAATGAGCTGAAAGGACATTGCTGACGTCGTGTTAGTCTATTTTCCTCTTTTAGAGATGCCCTCACTGTTGTATTTCAGTTTTCCGTGAAGCTGCTTTGCTAGTCGCTGTTGAGTTCGAATAATGCTGTTAAGGCGCCATTTTGTGGAAGCAGGCGCTGGTTAGGACCTTTATACTAGTATTTACTGACAAGTATAAAGTATCTAATAATATTATTTACGGGCCATTCGCTTAACAATATTTCTACTCCATTTCTTGAACTTTATTTTCTACTAATCTCGGCTTCATTAACTTTACCCCCAAATGGCACAGCAGGCTCAGCAGACACGCAACACTACAACTGAGAAGAACACATTTTGGTTAAACATTTGTTCCTCTCGAGTATCCAGAATTATTACTCAAATAAGAGTAAAAAGTGCAATGTAATAAAACTACTACTATTTTTTTTTCCATAAAAAGTTACTTAAGTAATTTTGGGGAACTTGAGTACCCCAAAAGCTGGTTAGAACCAGTTACAACCCACTTTTTGATGTGATTTACCCGACATAGTAAACACATAAATAGAATCTTTAAAATCTCTAGGAAGTTTACTGAACACAGAAAATCTACACAGTTAAAAATAAGAGGTAATAGTATTAAAACATAACATAAGATGTTTTTCACCTTTTACAGTCAAACATAGAAGGTACGTTTTACATTTAAACAAAAATATCTGAATTAAGAAAATTTCTACATTCAAAATTTTCTCAGATGCTCTGATTAGAGAAGTTACTCAAGCAAATCGGATGCCTTCAGATGTTTTTTTTTTTTTTTGTAAAGCAAAATTGCCCTGGAACAAGTAGGCAGACAGTTTCTTGATATATGCAAAGACAGGACATGTGAAAAAATAAAATAAGTAAATATTATCTCAATAAGATCGTCCACCTCAGCTCATATTTGAGAGCCTGTTTCCTCTCTTGCTCCTGGTTTGGCTTGGTAGTGCAGACAAACACTGAGGACTGAAAATATTCTGTTTGTGTTCACTCTCTCTGTTTGGACCCAAAGGTTCACTCAGTTCAGAGTTATTCACCACAGGCTGGAAGGCTGAAGTCCTGCTTTAAGGTGAACGTACAAGTTCTTCTTCAGGTGTTTCATCTCAGCGTTCTCTGATTTTCCTCAAGGATAAGAACCAATGCTATGGTGTTGTGTAATTAAACCACTGAAACCAAACACTGATCTTCCACAGAGACAAGGAGACATCTCCAGTCTCCATACTGTCCCAACCTTCTTGTTGTCAACCATCCTCAACAGTCATGACGTCTGACCCAGAGAACGTTTTTCTGATCATCAGTAAAATCAATGATTTCCTCTGATGCTGACCTGATTGGCTCTTTATCTTCCAGCTGAACCAATAGGAAGGTGAGCTCTGTCTTTCAGATCGCTGAGAACAAAGTCAGAGCAGGTGGAGCGTCTTTGTCTCCACAGTTTTTAGGAATCAGCTTGATGGGGTCAGAATGTGAATCGATCAGTGAAATTCCCCCCTGAGGGGAGGAGAGGCAGCAGCTCTTCTACAGAAACAAGACAAATCATTTCTGATGCCGTTGTTGTTAGAGAAGTGAATTTATGAGCTTTCCTCCTTCTGCAGGTATTTTACTTGGAGGAGTTTCTGAAAATGTGCCACTGGCTGCTGGAGCTAATGTTGAGTTCTGTGAGCAACAGAGTTCAGACACACTAGAGAGTTAACTTAGTACATGATTTAATGTGAGCACCTGACTGGCTTTGAACAGGAAAAACAAAGAAAGAAGATGGATTGAAGACTGGGTGAAAATGTGGAAGCAGAAGCAGGATAAACGAGGGTCTTTATATATCTAACCCAGGTCTCTTTAGCCGACCTAATTGCTGTTTGTTAAAGCAGAGATTAAATGGAATGATCTGTGGGTCTTTTCCAAAGGAAAACTGATCTGCAGCGTGTTTAGAAGCACCTGCTCTCTTAGATGTTCTGTGACTAAAACTTAATACAGCATAATAAACACAGGCTGCTCTCCATACTGTTTCTCCACTGCAGGAGCTCAGGCCTTGATTAAGCTTCATGGAAACTTCTGGATGACACACAGAAACCTACTGTAGCCTGCATCAGTTCAGTGTGTCCAACAATCCATTAAAGCTCAAATGAAACACACACAGAAGGAGTGTGAGCAGTAAGAGTGATGAGAAGGTGCTCAGACTCCTACTACTGCTCCTGTTCCTGGTTTGGAGAGAGTCAGAACGGGTCTCTGTTGTCATTTTTCAGTCACATTCTTCTCTTGTGAGGAGTTCGCTCGTTTTCCAGGCTCTCTGTTAAATCCAGATCAGTGGGGCTCATGTGGTTAAAGCAGGGAAATGTGAAGGTGACTCTGGTCATTGGAGGAAGAAGCTGCTAGATATGTGTGACCAAATCCCAAAGTTGTAAAATACTCCGGGAAACCAGCCTGTCCTTTCCCACAATCCTTTGTTTAGGACAAACAGGAAAATTCTAAAACCTTTTAAACTTGGTCAAGTGGAGCTGAAAGATTCTTTAAATCTGACCGGTAACTTTCTTTATTATGGCTCACATGTACTCAGATTCACAGTTTAGCTGCACATTGTCTTTAAGTTTAATTACAGTAAAAAGATTACTTAGTGACTCAAGAGAAATCACTAAGTTTGGAAGATGCATTAGACCAGTGCTTCTCAATTATTTTCCGTTACGCCCCCCCTAGCAAGAAGAAAACTATTCGCGCCCCCCATTCCCCACCGTGACTATCCATCTTGCATAACATTTTTTTCGCTGAAAAAACTCTAGCGGCTTATCGGCGTTATTGGGATGTAACGTATTTAAGTGACGCGCTCATTTATTTGGCTTCATGCTGTCCGCTGCGAGCATTTTTAGACACAGCAAACACACCGGTCTTTCCTCTTCTCCAACTGTAGTCACAGTGAAGCCAAGCGCTAAATACGCTTCGTCGTATTTCCTCTTCTTAGCTTTCGGTTGACTTTCTGTTGTCTCATTATCTTTGTCTCTCTCCGCGTTTCTTTTCATCCCTGTGAAAAACTTTTTCATGTTGGGGGTTGTTGAATAACGGAGGCCATAGACAGAACGCAGTCGGAGCTTTTTGTTGACTTAACACTGCTAACCAAGGCAAACCTGTTGTCTTGTAAGTCATGAAATGTTGCACTGTCGCAAACGTGACAGAAGTAACAATGAGAGCGCCACTGCCTACTGTGCGCAATTACACTTTATACTAGTTCGGCCAAAAAAAAGCCTCTTCCCCAGGATCACACGCGCCCCCCCAGGTATCGCACCGCGCCCCCCAAAGGGGGCTCGCCCCACTATTTGAGAAGCAGACAGCTGAAGTAAAACATGCAGTTGTGGCTGAAGGACGAAGAAATGTGTTCTAATTAGACTTATAAGCAGAAGATTCTGTATTCTTTCCTTCCTGATTTTGAATAAAACTCGTTTGCACCTGACAAATTTAGATAATTTTGAACTATGATCTAATCCATGAGGTGATTGAATTATAAGAGGATCATAGAGACATAATGTTGGCTGCATGAGAACCAATTAGCTCTGATCTAAATGAGTCTCAGTAAACAAACCCTGATACCTCTGAGAAGATTTCAATATCACTGCTTGGATGTTTTATGCACACAAACCTGTAATTGTGGCTTTGAAATAATGTGGTTTGTTTGTATTTCAAGGGGTTGAGGCCTTGGTGCCACTGTTTTCTTTGGAGGGGACAGACTTTTGTCAAATATAGAAGCATTGTGAGATTTATGGCCATAAAACTTGTGGAGAAACCCAAAGTCAAACTCTGCATACAGGAGTTCACAGACTGTTCTGGCTCCAGTTCTGTTCATGGTCACTTGACTCCTATGTTTTAAATGTCGACATGATCTCTCCACATAATGTATGTATCGGTTAAATAAGTGGAGCAGGTGAAGTTCTTATGAGATCTTATAAACAGTAAACTCAATCCATTTTTGAGTATAATCACAAAAATGGGGAGTAATTTGCCTGTTATCAAAATATGTACAGACTAAATAAGCAATCCAATTTGTCTTTCTAACTCTAGTATTGTCTCTTTGGGATTTTTGTTCTGTCGTTTGGTCCAATATGTCATTAAGAAACATGAACAAATTTCAACCGGTGTAAAACAATATACCTCTAAAGACCCATAGAGCTTTAACAGCTCCCTGTTTTCCTCTCCTCTTCCTACTTTCTGAAGTCAAAGCACCTATTTAAAAGCCCAGAATATTGCACTTCTTCTGCTTCTCCTCCCATCTTCTAAATTCTCCTCTTTTTCCATCACTTCATCTTTGAGAGTAAGTATATATGTATTCACTATATTTGTGTGGCATCTGCATCTGTTAATATCAAATATCTGAGCGCTCCAGTATGCTGCGACTTTTATTTCAAGAGACAACAATAGTCCTTTGTTCTCTCCCTTCTCTGTCAGGAGACAAGAGTAGGCAAGACAGAAGATAAAGTTGTAGAGGAGTGGACCTGCTGGTGAGAAGAACATGTGGATGAAAAGAGAAGACTGACATGGAGACGAATGTTGCTTAGAAGATGGGAAATGGAAAAGGTGGAAAGAGAAGTTGATGGGAGGACAAAGAGGACAGACAGCATGTCAGAGTCCGAGGTGAGTCAGAGCTGGTTCCCTTTTCTCCCATCGTTAGGAGTTTCGGCCTGAGACCTTTATGTTGGTGCAGCTCCAGTGCTGCTGCTGCCTGACCAATCAGGGAGAGGATAGGAGAGGAATATTGCTGCTGGGAAATAATGACACATCACTATGAAAGACATGAAGAGGGAAAAGAGACTTTCCTGCAAACAGATTCATTCAGTTGAGAGCAGATTCTGCCTGGAGACAACTCTGTTGTTCATCGCCTCTTTTATTCTGGGCCCAGCAGAGTGCAGCTCTGTTGTTCTGATTACAGTTGTTGTTTTGTTGGTTTTAACAAAATGATCTTGGACCTATTAGGTCTTAACATTGATCCTCAATAATGTTCAAACAGGTTTTACCTGTTTCAGGTATTGCCATGGACATGTCAGCTGAGCTGTAGTTCATTTTCTCCACAGCAGAACTCACATGTTTGACCCTTAGTTATCGTTTTCTTTAAGAGCCTCAGTTAATCCCACACTGTGCACTAACATGCAGCCACAGCAGGCTGCAGGTATGCAGCAATATCAGCCTCAGCAGGCTGCAAGAGCAGAGATTCATGACTGAGAAACATTGATGGTCCTCTGCTGACCCATGTTGGTTTTACAGAAGGAGAAATTTCTGTCTGACCATTCTATCTGAAACCTCGTGTTCATTTGATGTGCTTGGAGCCGACCAAGCTGCTGCACAGGAAGGGTGTTTTACAAGAAAACTAAATGTACTGGCAAATGGTAAACTGCATTCAACTGTATAATAGCCAATGTGCTCCAATGTAATTATTCAAACATTTACTGGAGCAGGTTGGATTTGTGAGGCATTTGTGTCATTTACATTCAAGAACCTGAAATTCCAAAGGTGAGATAAAAAAAGACGTTTCTATAATTAGAGAAAACTAAAAGTAACATGAAACACATTAAGCTTGATCACATTAAAAGCCTTGGAACTCAGCATCTTGAGGCATTTCTTTCCTATCTTAAAACAATAATCTAAGGCAAGAAGGTAAAACCTGATCCTCAGATAATGGCTGTCAGTAACCCATTAGGCCCAAACAGGAATGTGTCCAGAGCTCCAACAAAGAAAAGCAGCTCTTAGGGAATATTTCTCTGACCACTTTGCTGTTTAAGAAGTTGGAAAGTGAGAAGATATTTCTGTACAACTGAACAGACCAAGACATCCAGACTGAGTTTTTCATACACCAACCCTTTAGCTGAATCCCAGAGCTCTAAGCGCTGATCAGCCTGTCTGCAGTCATTGTGAGAGTCCCTCAGCATTGACTAAAGAGGGTTTAGTTTCAGCCTTGAAGCAGGAACTTCAGATGAATGAGAACCCCTCAGCAGAGTGGTCAGAGCATCAAGCAGTCAGACTTTAGCCTGACAGCATTTCTCCTCCTCAGAAAGCTCCAGTTTCTGGAAAGCACAGCTCCACTTCCTCATCATATAACTGGTTGTAAACCAGTCCCTGTGGACGACCACTCATTATGGCCAAAAGCTGAAAAGCTCCCCATCCACTGCAGAACCACTCCCTACCATCAACACCTACTGAGACCTGACATGGAGGTTCTGACCGTCGACTTGGAGGATTCCCTTTGGTTCTGCTGCCTTTGGTTAATGAGTCCCCAAACATTTCTCTCTGACACTTTTACACATTAGAAGGTTCTTTCTTCACTCATTTCATGTTGACCTCATGCTGTACTTCCTCATCAGCACTCAAAGGTCCTCAAGTCCTCTCACTGGAGGATAAAAGTCTCTGGCACTGGTGTTGTGCTTTATGGTTTGTTTGTCTTCAGACCCGGCCACATGGTTTCTGTCAGTAGGCAAACTGATTGGTCAGTTTACGATGTTGGATGGAACCCACTTTTTTACAGATCCGTTCTCTGTTCACTGGATGGGTCTCAGCAGAACCTGGTAGCACCATCTGCTGCCTGCTCAACACATAATATACTGGAATCCTCTGTGGACCAGTGGGTCTTTACTGGAAATGACATCAGCTCTTAAAGGGACAGGCACTCTGCTACTTGTTGATTTTCTTAACCAAGAAGAAAGCCTCACAGCTTTCTTTTATTTGGTCATGGTCTGAATCTGAATATGTCAGGTGCATTCCCATCATGCCTCTCTTTGGGCTGGTGGTCCATTAAACCAGGACAAGTTTCTGATTAGAATCACACACCAGCAAACAGTCAGAGAATATGCAGCTACCCTGAACTCTTTCCCATACCTACCATCTTCCATCAGCCAAGATGATTGAAACATTGAAGGTTCAGGGTTCAAACTTTGGTTTTAAGGCTTAGAGATTTGTCTGACTATCAAAAACCTCTTCAGGCCTGGACTCTGTTGATACATTGAGGGGAAACAGTTCCTGACATCAACATGTTCTGCAATAACAACATAAAGTCTTTATGGTTGTTAGAAGGTCTTTACTCGAAGCTAAAGGTCCCACTGTTGAAAAGTTTTCTCTTCTTTTGATCTCTTGGGTTTCCTCCTGACATCCATGAACACAACATGTTTAGCACTGACTGAAGTTTGTACCAGCCAAGACTGGAGATGAATGTGACTGTTTAGTAGTTTCTGAAATGGATCAGAGAACATTGAACGCATCATGATGGCAATTTACTCTATAGAGTCGTAAATAGAGAGACTGGGTCGGTGAAAAGTCAGGAAAAGTTGTTCTGGTCACTTTAATTTGACTTGGACAAACAATGATATCACGGTAAAGTTAAGAAGTCGAGGAATGTGTGTCCCTGATGGATCTTCAAACTTCAGCTGGAATAATATACATCTGTTAAAACACCTTCAACTATTCGACTCATGATTTTCAAAGATGCTAACTGAAAGCTATACCCGTCATCGCTGACCTTCCTCAGTTTCTCTTCAGGTCAGTTTCAGATGATTGTCAGCTGGAGGATTCAGAGGTGGTGGAAACTCCAGGCCTGATGCTCCATTTGTCAGCAACATCATCTCCATGTCCATTTACCAGAAAATGAGGAAAACGGAGCATCCCGGGCTGGTTTCTGTGGTACAGTGAGGTAATGGACTGAGTCGCCACATGAAAGGCTGGGCAAAAGGCAGGATAGAAACAAGAGAGAAAGAGCAGCAGGACCCTCTGAAAGAAAAAGCCCAGAGTTCTCAGCAGGAGTCCTTCTGATGCTAGCGCTGAACAATTAGACACATTATCCAGACAGAGCTCCTCAGACCGGGCCCTGGTCGGGATACGGTCCGTAAATAAAAATGATTGCAGCATACATCGAGACGGGAGACGGAGACATTTCAGTTTAATGGTTTCTAAAATGCATCAGGGGAACGCTGCAAGACCCAGTATGGCAGCTCACTCAGACTGGGACTTTTCCATTGCTTCTCCTCCTGTCCTTCTCTGGCTGTTTCCACCTTCTGCTAAACAATAGCTTTTCATAGATTTATGGAGATGAATATAAATTCATCACACAGAAAGAAAGCCCCTTCATCAGACCTTTCTACACAGCAACATGAATCTCCTGGATCTGAGATACAAGCAGAGCTTTACTTCTTATAAATCTTCAGACTTCCAGCACGTTCTGTTAAAGCGTTCTGGTCGTCAGGAGGGGGAGCAGATTTTTGATTGTGGCTGGTCATGACCAAGCTGGGAAGTCATTGGCTGCTCTTTACTCGCACGGCAGCTCACTTTTCAAAGGACGTCAGAGAAACATGAAGAAAGGGAAAACAGGGATTTGTTATCTTAACTCACTTAAGGCCAGACGGCCTCCTTTCTCTGCATTAAATGAAGATTTATTAAAGCTTCTCTTCCTGTGCTTATATTGTGCAGTGCCATTTAATACATTACATGTAAAGTACACACTAGTTTTTAAAGCATCATCGCTCATGTTAAGTACCTTGGTATATGTGGCTGATCCTCTGTTCATTAACCAGCCTGATCTGTGAACACATGTTTCTGTCATCTTCAACTGGAAGTAAATAAAGAGCAACATGTGGGCCGACGCAACACACTCCTCCTGGAATAAGATGACAGGATTTCAATAACTGACAAGCAGAACCAGAGGGTCCATCAGTACCAATGATAACGTTCATCAGAAACTCACTGGAAGAAAAAATACATGTCTGAAGAGTCCAGACCATTTTTACAGCAATCTGAGTGGAATGAAAACACGGCTCAGATTCCTTATAGTGAAACAGAGTCAAAAAACACAGAAATGTTGGAGCAGATGAAATACTTGATCATTTAACACTTGACTTTAACTGGCCTGAGTTGGACAATGGAGGAAAAATGTAAGAGGTTAGAGAAAGATTCCTTAAATCTACAACCAAGACACCTTTAGCTCACTTCTTGTGGTGAAACTGAACATCTTATCGTCATGGTTTTGTTTAAATACCTGACCCACGTGTATTTAGGAGAAGACCAGAGAAAGATATTAGAAAATTCCTTAAGGAATGTAAATGGTGGAGATCGTGGTCTGGGAATTTAGCTGGAAGTTTGGGACGGTGAGCCATTGAGGTGGAGAGGACAAAGTGAACGGGGAAAATGTGAAGTAGATGATTGAGCAGAAGAATCTGAGAGGTGAGGAGGTGGAGAACCGGCTGGGATGTTGGTCAGTGGTTGGTGGAAAATGAAAAGCAGTGATGGAGCTTGGGTGATGGAAGCAGTGGAGGTTTGCACAATGGTTGAGGAAGAATTCAGAGGGCTTAGTTTATCACTTGTACTGCTTTCCAGTTATCCGGGAAGTGACTTGGCACTGGTTTGACGTCAGACACGGGTAACAACATTCTACTTAAGTTGTCGGAACACAAGATGGCGACGCCCATAAACTAGTTTTGCGACAGCTCTTGCAAACATCGCTGAAGCTTTACCTGTCATTGGCAATTTTCTAGATTGTTCTAATTTGTTCTGTTTAGAGTTGCATGTGCTACATGTAACATTCATTTTAGTTGCAGTTTTTCATGCATGTCTTGTAAAATATCCACATGAAATTACTACTGTTAATGCGAAAAGCAACCACACAGAAACCTGAAGTCCGTCTGTCATGTCGTAAATGGCAGCACTCGGGAGAACTGGGATGTTTGACTTCCTGTTGGGATGTCAAACATCCCAGCAGGATGTTTGACTTTGGAGGGAATTCCAGTTGGAATTTCCTATTACCAAAATTTAGGTCAACACTCAAGCAATGAAGGGTCAGCTCTTCCTATACGCAAGATGACAATCCTGAATGAGGAACAGTTGCACAGAACTGGATCTGCTCAGCCCCATCCTCCGGACTTGGTAACTGCAGTCCTAAACGCCCTCCAATGGGAACATGAAAACTCCAGAAAAGATAAACCAACTTTACAGATTCATCAAACCAGATTCCTGTCAATTACCATCCCATCTATCTAGTATTAACCCAAAACATTGTCAGCTTCTGGTCAGGCATTAAAAGAGTTTAATGCACAGCATGTTAAATGAGACTGAAGAGCTCAAGTCCTCGTGAGCTACAATGCTATAAACTAACTGGATTAATAAATTAACTGAGGTTGGAATGTAGATGAAGTTCTTCAAATTCAGCTGGGATAGAATGCAAGTACGGAAAGTATTTGTTGAATGACTTACTGCTCTCTCGTGCTCTCATTTACTAGATGAAATATATGAACTGGAATATATTTCTCTGAAATAGATTCCAGTGACACTCAGTGGGACAAATCTCTAAACCACAGGAATCTTTTTTAATGATCCTCCTCCCAATCTCCAAGAGCTTTGATAAATGCAAAAATTAGCACAGTTTTAATTTAGAATAACGAAATAAATTTTTCTTTAATAAGAAATGTAGTATTAATTCATACAACTTGCTTGATTCACATCATTTACAGAAAGGACTCAAACCCCTTAATTCTCCAGAAACTGTACAAACCAGATTCAGATGAGCAGAAGATGAGTCAAAAAGCTAAAAACAACATGTCATAAAAAAAAAAAAAACATCTACATGTATTGATTAAATACGACAAAAGTGGAGGTAATTCCTGCAGATTGATATATAAGAATTATTTTCATCCATATGAACCCATGAAATAGTTTATGACATCACTGCCTTAATGATAAAACTCTGAAAAGCTATAAAGCTGGCAAGTGCCATCACATTATTTTTGGTTGTTTTTTAAATATTCCTTTTATAAAAATAATTCAGTTTTTGAAATAAATGGATAGTGTTTAATTTGTATTTTATGATGCCAGACTGTCTGTATTTGCTGCTTTCCTGAGGTCAATAGGGGAGCCATGTTGCAGAAACTTTGGTGAGGATTGTTGCTTTTGGGTTGGATTTTGGGGAGGGGCTTGATGTTAAAATATAGTGGCTTGGTCATCATTTCTCTCTCCTTTTTTTCTCTTCAGGTCTGTACATGGTATGATACACACCAAACGACGGTAAGATGTTTACACATTATTTTTTTCAGTAGATGGTACTGTGAAGTGGATTCATTGCACCTTTTTGCTATTATTTGTAAGTCTTAGAGTTTAGACTGGGAGGAGTTAGTGACTCACAGATTATGATATCCTTACTAAATCTGGTTCTAGGAGTATTATTTTGCTTTTGTAGTGAATCATATTCAGTGTACGTAATTTTGTAACTCTTAACGTGGCCTGAGACGAAAGCGAATCTAGCCAAAGCTATATGAAGCGCGACAACTCTTTGTTCATCAAAGCTCGGGTATATAAGTTGTATGAAACAATTATTTATTTCTTTTACACGTTTGTAAAAAAAATTTCACCTTGTCATGACAGTGTGAGACATTAAAAAATACGTAAAAACAAGTCTTTAAATAAAAGTTACATGCCCCTCATACATATTTAAGTGTGAGAATCGAGAGGTTAAAAGTTGGGACTTACATATTTTAAATCTTGTATTTGTATGTTTTATCTGTAAGTTGAAAATAGTGTACATTTTAATGTTCAGACAATGCGATGATCTTTGTTGCATGTTTTCCCTCTCTCATTACTCAATTTTCTGTCTGACCTATGTCAAATAAAAGCCACTAGAGCTAATAAAACATAAAAAAAAATCTTCATATTGTGCATCCCTAAAATACTTCTGTGGTGTTTATGTCAGTGAAGTATGGTAATGTAAAAAGGTGTGTTGAGGCTAATTATTACTTGTGATAAAAAACAAACAAGGCTTGTGGAAAAGAAAGGTAATAAAAAGCATTAATGTTGAACACTGTAAAGGGTTTGTTGGTTAACAAATAAATGAGATGTGATTGTACAGATCATTGTTACATTAGTCCTGTTGCTTGGTGCCCGTAACATTAAGTATTAACATTGCATGTCGAAGATCATTTCAATTAGTGGAACCTGAACATACGAGTAAATCAACACACAATAAAAAAAAAAACACAGCTGTTGTTCGGTACATAGACTGGAATACGAGTGGAAATCTGAATTACAAGTCGTGCTTCAAGATGCCACCACTAGTGGAAGCATGGGCATAGCATCAGCTCGAATCTCATCTCGTTAATCCACATGACGTTTATTGAAATGATGCAGGAATTCCAATTGGTGCCAGTAATATACACCCAAAGTTTTTTTCCCAACCGCCAAAAAACCTTAAAAGAAGAATTGAAGCAGAAGATCAAAGTCAAGCATGAGTACGTGAGTTATCAAACTAGCAAGGCAGAAAATGTTACACTGTCTGCAAACCATCCTCCTTCTCTTCTCCTGCTCCCAAGGTAAGAACACTTGAAGCATTTATTCTTTTATTATGCATAACTAAAGTATACATCTGTCTTTGCTAACAAAAAGATAGTTTTTTTTTATAATTCAGCATGGGAATATTTTTACGGGGCAAAGAATGGATAAGAATTATTATTTTAAATAGGCAAAATGTATTTGAAGTACAAGGAAATTGGCTTACAAGCTTGTTCACGGAATTAAACTTGAATCTCGAGGTTCCGCTGTATTTGTCGAGTTTTGACTGTTTACAATGGCATAGTCATTGCTAAATAACTATGATACTTTTAATAAAGACTGTTCTCATTATCACAGTAAATGTCACAAAATGCTAACATTGGTAGCCGAGAAGTGAAGTCATCATTTACTATAACCTCAAACAGTTGGCCTTACTGACTCTCCATCATCTCAGCAGTGTTCCACATCTCCTGGAAGTCCTCCTCCTGCAGAGTCAAGACCACAGAGGAAGAAAAAAAACAGGTAGTAAAATTAGCTTCGTGAAGACATTAAAAGTATCTGAATTATAACCTAGAGAATAAAACAACAAAAAACACTGCTTTGAACACATATCTCCAAAAGCAATGACATATCTCCTGCAGTCATGATTCTCACACATGAAATGCTCTGAAACTTCAAGGAATGTTTAGTTTTTCCTTCCACTCAACTCACAGGAATATCCACTCCACTCAGAAAACAAGACATCCTCAGAAATCTCCTCCAAACAGGCAAAAAGCAAAACTTACAGCTGTAATTTACAGAAAGGAAAGGGAACATTTGTGTCAGTCTGCATTGTGATGGGAGTTTGTGAACTGGCTGCACAGCTCACTAAACTGACTGAAGCCATGTGGCTTCTGGTTGACCCCCATGACCCTGACCCCCTCAGTGCAGCAGCAGAGCGGGAACATGGCTGCACTCATTTAACCTTCTGGTTTTACTGGGGACAGATATGGTTTTATAGAGAACCACTTTCCCAAACAGACAATTATAAACACACAAGATACAAGTTCATGCTGAGAAACTCAGAGACACAAACAATCCTGCAGGATTCAAACTGAGTGGGAGCAGAAAATATGAACCCAAACACACAGGCTGGTGAGATCTTCGAACTCCTGAACAGATCAGTTCCTGGAGACGCCGCCTTTGTCCAGAAGCTGCTGTAGAATATCGCTGCTGCTTTTCTGCTTCAGAATAGATAAGCTTCACAGCTAAATTGAAAGAGTCTGTTGTTTCCCAGCATTAAGAGGAAACAGTCAGAGAGGAGTGTATATTTATTGAACCCAGTGTTTGAGCCTGGTCAGATGTAACAGCAGCCAGAAATGATTAATTTGTTGTTCAGGAGCAGCATAGCCCTGTTGAAGCACTAAAGGTTATCCTGAGGCCAAAAACTCTCCCTGCAGTGTTTTTGTGTATTTCTAATGGTTTTCTCTGTTGCATTGTGTCTGTTCTCTGGTTTAATTATGGCTTTCTGATGTAAAATCAGAGCAGGACGTAAAATCTTTTATCCCTTCGTTGGCAGTGTGTTCTCTTCAGATATTGACTTTTAATAGTCGGACACAACGATTCATCAGGAGGACACCTGCTTCACTGCTGTACTAAAACTTACTTGCTCTTTGTTGAAACCAAACCAGCCAGGGATTTTTGGTAGAAAGCATTAAGTTTTCTCTCTACCACACCACATGTTCACCGATGTAATAAAGAGTCAAATGTGAGGCCGTCTGGTCATTTGACACAGAAGAGGATTTCCTCTGGGAAAGCTCTTCAAGCTGAGCACATGGTTGTTGTGGCCTCTTATTTGGGAGCTGAGAGTATCGTTTCTGCTGCTGCAATGAGCCACAACACAAACAAGTTCATCTCCTCTCCTTCACTGAGCTGCCTGTAATTTCACAGTGGACATTTCCACTCGTCCAGCCCACATCACAGCTCTGCCACTCATCCCTCCGACTCAGTGAAAAACATCGCATGTCTCCACCTAAACCGCAGCATGCCCTAAATATAACACCTCCTCCAACAGCGCCACCACCCTCCACTCCTGCTCTCTGCATGCTGGGATTGTCTGTGTTCAGTCAGGACCACAGACTTCCTCCATGTCCAACTCTGGATGGAACTGTGTGCTTGTGGACAAACGTCCTGCGTGTCCAGCCTGCAGCAGGACTGTCTTCTTTTTCTCCCCTCCAGCAGCACAAAGGTATCAATCATCTTTCTGAGCTTTACAACTAGCACTTTAATTAGTTGGCCACAAATGCGGAGGCAGAGAAGACATGCTGCGCTGAGGCCAGTTTCAGAGAGAGAGGGCCCCGAGCAGAGGAGGAACCCCAGACAGAGACCTGGCGTCCGCTGTCTGGAGATCAGTTACAACACAGGGCCCGGCCCCGTCATCAGCAGATCACTCAGACTCACTACTGACTGCAAACTGTGGCAACAAACAGACTGCACTCTGCCTCTAGTGGAGTTTGGAGGAGACTATGGAGTTCGATGTTAGACTTTTGACACAGCAGAAAATAATCACAGCTAATGATCAATAATTTAACACATTCCATCAGTATGAGACAAACTGAGACCTGACATTAGAGATTATGCTAAGCCAATCTTCAGCCTGCCAGAAATTACTAGTTGAAGAAGATGCTCATGTCCTTAATGTTGCTGTCAATTAAGTGTGAATGTATTTGGTGATTGAATCATGCTTAAAGATGCACATTAGAAAAGTAGCAGTGGCTCTGCATGAAAAAAAGCTACTCCAAGTGACTAATAAGTCTTCAATAAGGATGGAGGTGACTGAACGCAGTCACCTCCATTATGAGATCTTTAATTGCTTCAGGCCTTGTGTCCTCTTGAGCAAGTGTTCTTCAGTCAAAAGGTTTGCCAATGGATTTGAGTCGTGACGGGTTCTTGAAGACTTGCTTATTGATACTGTCTTTGACAGTATTGGTATTGGTAATTCCCATAGTGTTGGGAGTCATTCTGACCTTTTCTGGCTGTATTTCTGTTGTTCACATGGAGCACCCTGGGTTAATTGCTATATTATTTCTAATTATTATTACAATAATAAATGAGTTGTTTTCTGACATGAGATTGTTTTAAAATGATTTGTTTCCAGTCAGAAAATTGATTACTCCAATTATACTGACACTTCCTGAACTCTTTATGGTCACATGCATGAGTTTGAGTGCTTGATTTTAGAAAAAATATTCACACCATTCAACATGTCATTGGTGCTATTTGTTATGATATCTGTCAGATGAGAATGATGTCATAATGTTTTGCTAATGAGCCGATAATTAATGTACACCACTAACACCAACTGCTGGAAACTGCACCATGTTATAATAGAGCTGGAGGCCTAAAAAACAGCTATGCGGGCCATGCCAGCCCTTGTATATATAAGGTTTTAACAGACCAATAAAACCCACAACCTGCAAGGGCTGCAGCAGCAGACACTCAGCTCTGCTTTACACAATCCGAGTAAATGTGTCTCCTGTATTGTGGTCACAAGGCGTGTTGGAACAGAAGTAGTTGGAATATGACCGAGTTTGGGAGCATTTATTCGGTCATTCAGCTGAAAGCTTCACTGCAAATGGGTGGTGGGAGTGGCACCTGGAGGGAATGTGAGCAGGAAGCCTGCTGGATGTTTCAGGGTCAGGACTTTAACTCTCCTTCATATCATGGACACCGAGAGCGTCACTGTAAAGCAGCCTTTTTTTTC